ATTTTCACTTATCCAAACTTATTTTGGAGGCAACCTGACCTAGTTCTTTCAGGTCCTAATGTTGGTGCCAACATCGGACCTCAGGCGATGTTCTCAGGTTCTGCTCCTTTTTCTGACTTTTCTAACTTTTCTGATTATATCACTTGATCAGAACTTATGATGAAACGGCGAGTGGGTCATCATTATTGAAGCACAACACTAACTCAATCTTGTTTCCTTTTGATTGCTGATCAGGAACTTTCAATGCCGCGAGATATTCCGCAGCACAGCCTCAGGGTATACCGGCCATCGCCATATCCGTTTATGGTGATAAAAACCGACATGGATACAATGAACTCGTACCTTCAGATCCAAGTTTCATATACGCAAAAGTTGTGGTTCGATTAGTTGACGCTTTAACATTAGGTGATAAGAAATCGCCGTATCTACCACCTGATTTTCTTCTCAACGTCAATATTCAAAAAGCAGGTCCCAAAGAAAATTGTCAAAAACCAGAAGATTATAAATTTGTTTTAACTTCACAATATGGTCATAGTAATTTAAAATTTTGGAAGAATCATCAAGATATTGAAAGATGTGGTACTTCAGTTCTTCCAAGTGAACATGAAATTATGGATCGTGATGAAGGTTGTTGGGCTAGTGTTACTGTAAGACTTGCAAAAGATGATGCTAGAGCAAATGAAAAGGAACAAGATATGGTAGTTAACCTCTTGGGTGACTTGTTGACTTGTCCTTGATCTTAACTTTTTGATGACTCTCCTCCTGACCTACTCTCGTCGACTTGTATTCACATCTAACCTTAGTCTGTCATTACTACTTGACTTGTATCCACTTCTAACCCTCAGTCCTTCATTTCATGGTTCTTTATATATATTTATTGAGATGCTTGATTCTCTTGTTAGTCAAAAGAAGACTTGTAGTCTCATGTGCGTGTGAAAAATACTTTGTCATTCATTCATAAGTCTTAAATCTACTCAGTGACACTGACATTGCGAGCTGCGTTTTGTGTTTAAAACACAAATGCCATTGCAGCAAAATCCAAAATGAGTAGAGTCGACATTGACAAGAGAGACTGAGGCTGATGGGACAATGGTCAGTGGGTTACCACACATCACCCACAGCTCCACAGACAACCTGTGATCAAATACAACCTTTCAATTACACAAATAAGATGCCTAACCGAAAGATAGAGGGATTCTAATGACTTCCTATTGTACATGAGAATCGAGGTTTTGCAAAGGACATAAAACAACAAAAACACAACAAAAAAGAAAGCAAAACTCAAAGAAAGCAAAAAATGTTCCAATGATATTCAAGTCAAGTCGAATGGGTAATGTCACTAATTCCATTTCTGTTGAGCATATAGTCCAAACATCTGGTTTCCCAAGATATCTACATAAGGTAGCAGATCCGCTTTGGTGTAGGTCTTGGTCGATTGCACTTTATTCAAAGCCTTTAATGCAAATGAAGAAATAAAACTGTGACATAGGAGATCAAGATTAGTATGCAAGGTGCAAGAAGTTTATAGAGAATGACGAACTCATAAAATACAACATCTACTTCTTCTGCGTCAGGTGGAAGAGGTGTTCCAACGTATTCAGGTGGATCATAGACCGGTAAAGGAATATGTGGAGTATCATCACCCACTCCAGGACAGGAATCTTTTGTTACATAGCCATATGATTCAGGTGTAACACTGCTACGCGCATTCTTCCTTATGATCGGACCAAAGTAAGTTTGAGCGCTAGGTTGATTTCGTAGATATGACATGTATATCTCTTCGACATTCTGACCTGTATGATAGTCTTGATTTCTATCATTTTCATCTGGTGCCATAAGACTTCGACGACGCCGAGTGCTTCCAATCCCACCTGTAAGAGTCATGTCGTACAGTAAATTTCAGATGAGCTCTTCAGCTTCAACAGGAAATCCAAGACTGACCAGTATTCAAGGCATCAATGAATTGAGCTGCAACATCCCGAGGTACGTTGGGTGCATAAACAAATGCATTCTTGAACGGCATAGTGATGAGCTCATCATTGACCGTAAAATCTCCCTTGAAAATATCAAAACGTATCGATCCAGAGTTGAGTGCAATCAGAGGAGGATGAGGCCGTTCGAGACTTCGAACCACAGATCGGAGTACTCCTTCAGGTCCTGTGAGCAGGTAAGTCATCGAGTTATTGGCAGTGATGGGGACTCGATAGTTAAAGTAAGACCTGCACATCTCAGTGGTCAGCAATCTTGAAAAGTATCACGAACATATACACTAACTGGTCAAGCTTACTGAGGAGCTGTGCCAAATTTGTAGGTGATGTTAAACTTATTAGCCGTTTCACTGATGGCATGAGTGGTGTTGATCCCAGCCTCGGTGTCGAAGCCCGACCCAGCATGGAAGGCATAGGTCACTCTATTCTGATCGAGGTAGCGTCTTGAAAAGCTCACATCCCCGGTTCGATTTAAACCCTGAACACCTAAAACCATGTATAAGTCACATTTGAAATGATAGATCAGACCACTCAAGCTTACTCATCCATCCGATGGTCTCCATATATCTTCCACTTGAAATAGACATAGAATGACTATCAAGTTGTCGACAGTCACGAATATGGTACTATTGTGACATACAAAGTTAAATCAGAGATGTTCCTCTATTGGGAGAAAGATGCTTACATGTCCACCTAGAATCATAATCGGGACTTTGGGATGTAATTTTCGGATCACCTCGAGTACCACCTTCCAATCGTCATCTGCCGCACCCTACCGAAAAACAATTACAATGCAGAAATTACAATTCAGAGGGGATATTTGATTTGAGGGAAGCAGAAGTTCAAAATGTACCATATGACCAGTAAGAATGAACACATCAGGTCTTTCGCGTATAGCCTCAAGGAACCACGCCTCTTTCACTAACTAGAGGGGAATATAGATATAAGTCTTCCTCGTATGATTTTAAAATATCCAATGAAAAGGATCACCTCAGTAGGTGGCTGAACCACGGTGCCATTGGCATTGGCAGTGAAATGAAAAGTAATACCAAATGCAGTCACAGTCCTGCCTTGAGTTGTCTTGAATTTACGATACCGGGATCCAATGGGGACAGATGTACCTGAGGTAGTGATGTTGACATTGGAGGTGAGATAGGAACCATTCCATCTAGATGCGAGGACCAAACTTAGTTTTCATTGAACTAGATATAGTGATGATGCTAGAGCTTATGTAGTTTGATTGAGGTTTCCGAAACTCACACAGGAGCAAAATTATCATGCATGTCTTGAGCAATCGGAAGGTCGTACAATTCATGATTTCCTATTGAAAATCAAGTCAGTTGGATTTTGAGAAGGCTTGTTTGGAATTTTCAAACTGTCTCCACTACTCACCGATAGTCAAGATGTCGTAAGGTACACGAGCAAAGTATTTGTTGGAAGTAGAACCTCGAGGGGTACCAATATGTACCAATGGCTCCGCATCACTCAATCCGTTTCCATCATGAAGATCACCCTGCAGATTCGAGAATTGGTGAGCTGGATGTCAATTTTTCCTAAATGGACACTGCAAAGTTCAGGGCTACACACTGTATCGATAACCAACAGGTCGACTCCCTTTTCTGCCGCCTTCTCCTTCATTCGGTACACAAATGATTGAAAATCGCCCTATGTAATGGATGTCCAGTATCAATATTTTGAGCTCTGCCATATTCTCCAATGACATTGATCTCACAAAATCTCCACTATAGTTTGGTTCAGGTTCTTGTGAATGGAGATGTCCCTACGAAACCCCGAAGAAACATCTTGAGCGATTGAATATGAGGGCGAGTGATAAATTGATGGTATTGCTAACCATGAGCCAACCCTGAACAAAAATATTGAACCATCCGGTGCAGAATGAAGTCAGTTATCGTGAACTAAACCTGAGACCGACTCCTACTTTGTAAAGATCACAATGCAAGTCTTACATGAGTGTCCGTTGTGTGAATGATGTTGAGGTCACCCCATTGAAGCTCTCGATATGGACGTCCCGTCGGATCGGATGCTGATGGCTGATGACGCTTGACATGATCCCCGCATGCATGTGTCAAAGCGAACAGCCAAACCAAAATCTCGCATGTATCAAGAAATCGCTTTATCATGTTCCTGAGCCGGATTAAAGAGATTCAAAGTAGGGATATGTTGATTGTTTGGGTCGACACTTGAGAGGGACCTGGTCACCTGATGTATGTTTGACGAGTTTGACGCCGATTGACCTTCCAATGGGAATTCGGACCACAGTTTGAAGGAAGAAATGAATGAAGTAGGTCGATGAGAAGGAATGTTGAATCTGCAAACATCCTGTTGACTGTTTCTCGCACTCTCAACGGTCATCTGCTCATCTCGAAACCTGTATTTAGGGGTTCTCAACTTAACTAAGTCACCCCTAGAGAAGCGCTCAGCAGGGAAAGTCTTGCCAAAATGGTGAATTCCCGGCAAGACATTTACAAGGACAAGTGATTGGAATTTGAGTGGGATACTAAAATTACAAGCTCAACCCTAAAGTTCTCGAGAGCTGACGGTATGAGCATGAGATACATGGACATCTTGCAAGAGCTAATGAAAGAAACAAAATAAAAAATCACAACAGCAAAGATGGAGAAGAGATAAAATTAGCGAATAGTAGTCTGTGAGCCACCCATCTGTTCTCGTATTCTATCAATCATCGCATCGGCAGCGCTGATCACGAAGAATGAACAAAGATTGGAAAGGATGAGATTGTCAGTTATTTAACTTATCTGGTACGTGAGACAGATGACTGACTTTTCAGCCCCAACACTTAATTGCGAGGTGGGATCTTTTTTCAAGTGTTTTACTTCACCCAAAGCGCCTAGAAAAAAGAGTCGTGAACAGTCCCCACCAGATGGCTGCCGCTGAATAAAGAAAATCCAAAATTGGGATTCATTCATAATTTTCAGTTCGATAATCATAGATAGAAATGGAGAAATTTACTCACAAAAAGAAAGGTGAGAGTTGACACTGATTGAAATCTAGAAACTCGTGTAGAATATTCCACCGCTCCATCCGCCTCACACAGCTCCCATTCCTGATCAGGTTTACGATCATCTACATCTTCAAATCCGATACCATTCACATTAGCCCAGACACGACAAAGTCTAGGAGCCTCTTCTCCACGTCCAATTCCAACCAAAAGGGTACGGATGCGAACCAATTCACTGAAGACAAGATGGATGAGTAACTCTGGTTCAGAGTCATCCAATGAATAAAGGGATTCGTCGGTGGAAATCGTATTACGAGTATCATGAGGTCGAACGATAAGTGGGAGACCGAGTGGAGGTTGTTGAGTATTTAGTGCATAAGAACGTTGTAGATCGATGTATGGGTATAATGACACGCTACTCGAAGTACCCGCTGCCCGTGCCAAAAGATGATCTGAAGTTGAAGGGTCAAGTCCGTCGAAATCTGCGCCTGTGAGGTCTGTTTCCTACAAATGAAGCGCAAGACGGTTAACATGAAGCGTAAGCAGAAGTTTTCTGACTCTGAACTCACGCAGGTGTTGGGAGCCATTCTCGTATCAAAATTTAGGAGAGATGGCCTGGGATCGAAATCAGGGTTCAAGGTCACATTCATGGTACAACTCATACTCGACAGCCGGGCGGATTGCTCGGATTATCGGATCGGGCTCGCAGCCTTTGAAAGTTTTGTTCGTCCTCACAATGAGGGCCAGCAGCAGACATCAGCTTCAAGCTAATCATTTCCCAGCACTTTTTCAATTCACGTGAGTTATATTTCAGACTGCGATTCTGCGTTCTACGGCATGGATGGTGGGCACCCTATGTCACGGCAGACAACCTACAGAAATGGCTTCCCCACTTTGACTCTCACAGTGGAAGATCCTGGAGAATGTATCTCATTCCTTGATTTTCAGCCAAAGGAAAGTCACTCGAAAGCAATTATATACTTATGGTCCTCAAACCTGTGCAAGATCCGTGCAAGACCGACGTGCAAGATCCGTGCAAGATCGGTGCAAGATTTCTTGCACCAATCTTGCATAATTATTTTTTTCACAACCCCACTACGAATTGCCCAATCTTGCCCTTCATGCCACGCCTCTCGTCCCGCAAAAAAGTCATTCGAGCATTCAAGCGACTCGCCAATCAAGGCAACGATTTTAGTCCTCACAGTCTGGTCCTAACTGCAAGGCGAAAGGTTTCCAGTCGCTCAAATTCCAGTATCTCCAACTTCTGCCAGCTACTACAGCTCCCACGCATTCAAGCGGCGTTCAATCTCGAGCCTCATGTGTGTGTGGCCCTGTGGATGATATTTCGAAAACGATCGAAGTCTTTGCTCAATTCTTCAACAAGCCGATCAGACCCGCTGGCTCCATTCAATAATCCAGCCTTATGGTCACTTGCGATCGATATGGTCCAGCGCAAGCGATACTTTGAATCAAGGCGCCGTGGACCTCAAGAATTTCACACGATGTTCAATAGAATCTGGGCCTCAAGCGATGTGACCTTTTTGAACCTGGTATGTTTGTTCATTTCGATATGATGTGCTCTAGGTGTTTGTTTAACTCACCAGCTTACAACACTAGGCTCGAATGGACCGTTCCAGCTACTTGACTTTGCTTAACGAAATTGCAACGTGTGATGTATTTGAGAATCAATCAACATGTCCGCAGAGCCCAATTGAGCTTCAACTCCTGGTCACTCTGGCGAATCTTGGACTTTCGGGAAATGGAGGTGGTATTGGTGTTCTTGCTCATCTATTTGGTATTTCACGTGAGCTTCTACATATAATGATGGGTTTTCAGCTATTCATTTGTTTACTTACAGTTACTTGGTGGTTTCAGAAGGCAGCGTTGAAAATTTCACGTGGAGATGTATCGTTGCAATCGTTCGGATGGAAAAGAAGTATTTGTCTTGGCCTACACCTGAGGAGCGTGTTAAAATTCGATCTTCTGTGGGCGCAAACACTCCTTTCAAAGGTTGTGTTGGTTTTGTGGATGGTACATTGATACCTCTTGCATTTGGTCCTCCAAAGTGCAAAGAGGACTATTGGACACGGAAATATATGTATGCAGTCAACTCAATGCTTGTATGCAATCATGATCGTAGGATCACGTTTGCTCGCCATGGTTGGTGTGGTAGTGTTCATGACCAGCGAGTCATGCGTACTTCCTCGGTAAGTTCAATATCTTTTCAAGCTTTTGTACGGCTTTGTTTTATTTCACTGACCAGTCATATTTCCAGATCTGGTCAGACCCGATGGACTTTTTTTCCGAAGGAGAATATCTCCTGGCTGATTCAGGTTACAGCACCAACTCGTTCATTATCCCGGCTTTCAAACGAGTGGGAGGTATTCCTCTGACACACGAGAAGATGGCTTTTAACAAAATTTTGAGTGAATTACGTGTAGCAATTGAACACTGTAATGGTATGCTTAAGTCTCGATGGCAGTCTTTGAAAGACTTACGATTGCTCTTAAAGGACGAGCAATGTGTAAAGCGCCTGAATGCTTGGATATCAGCATGTTGTATCCTGCACAACTTCTTATTGGATCACAAAGAACAAAGCACCTTCAAGTATAATATAGGATCTCCTGTGGATCCTGAAGACCCTTTCATCTTGGATGAAATACATCTAGATGATGACAAAGAAACTCGCATGCGTGTATTTCGTATCTTTTGTGAATCTTTATAGTTTTTTCCATTTCATCCTACCTTGTTTGTAAAGTTCTCAAAAAGAATATGTCTCAGCAAGATGCTTTCAAATCAAATAAAAACCTTTTTGCAATTTAATGACTCTTGACCAACTTAAATTGGTATAAGTGAATCTGTTACTTTAAGAGTTGTCAATTTTGATCGATTAACACATTTAAATGATATGGAATGCAATTTAAAGACTCTTGAGTAACTTAAATTGATATAAGTGAATCTGTTCATTTATGAATTGATCAATTTTGATCGATTCACACATATCATCGATATGAATTCTCATCGTTTATGTGATCAATTTCGATCGATTAACACATTTCATCAATATGAATTCTCATCGTTTAACACGGACCATAATCAAAACCAAAGGAATATATTTCTCAAGAGTATAGTTATTAATGACCACATCAAGTCGATTCAAAATCATGATAACCATTTTGTGAGATTTTCAAACACTTCACAACGAGTTGATTCAAGAGAAACGAACACTAATTGAAGAAAGAAAGAGATTTTAAACTAAATAAGTTACATTCATAAGTAACTGAGTGTAAGTCACACCGAACTAAATATCAATTGTTTTCTTGAGAATGATTGTCAAGTCCCCCTATCAGAGCAAACGAACTGGTCAGGAGTGTCCATAATGGATTGGAAACACCAATCTGAGACAAGATGGTGGATCACTTACTTCGTATCTGGTCTTCGTCCTCTTGTATTAAGGTTTTGGCTTCTTCAAGTGAAAAACCCAATGCCTTATACTTAGCCAACATTGACAACTTGCGGTCACTCCTCGCTGTGATGAGATCTTCACGGCTGCGAGCCAACTGAGATCTTACAAGATCCACCTGAAGTCTTTCTTGCTCGAGTTTAAGTTGAGCACGTTGGGCACGATCGGATTCTTGTAAACCATCATCACCTCCTGAAAGGTGACGAGAAACTGCCTCAGCCAGTCTAGCCTGCGTTTTGAGCTCTTCTTGTCGTGCATCCTGCTCTGCCTTCATGTACTTTTCCTCAAACATCAATCGATCCTTCTCAAGCTTGTTCCTCTCTAATTTTTCTTCGCGTGAGGGTAGTTGAGACACTAAGAGATTGTGTACATCGGAAGCCGAGGTTGAGGTGGACCTAGAACCTAGTTTGTTATCGACGTGAAGTGATCTTGGACGCTTGATAGGTCTTCCCCGTGTGTTTCGACCACTTACATTATTGTTGAAGTTGTTTGGAGAAGGTGATAATTGTTGGGATTGGGAAGTTGAACCATAATCCGGACCGTTCGACAGTTCAGTGAAATCTAAGTTTGGGGGTAGCTCTAAATCATTATCGAAAGGACTTTCACATCGAGTTCTTTTGGTTTCTTGGCTTTCTTGTAATGATGATATGTTGCTGATTGGAGAGTGGTTGCGTGCGCGATTTGAAGAGGGAAGAATGTCCTCTTCATCTAAAACATCCCCACTTTCGCGTACAGACTGGGGTATGATATTAGTGCGTGTGGACATAAACGGTTGGAGATCGTAGTAGTGTGGGCTGTATCGGAACAAAAGCTCTGTTGAGATGAGAAAACATCAGCATGCAACCATTCCAAGTCTGCTTGGACAAGATGACTCAGTACATACGGTCAAACTTGGATTTGGTTGAATTCACCAGTACCTGCCACTCATCACTATCAGATTCGTAGCCGTTCCTAGTTTTCTCATTACGTGCTTGTTCTTTGAGATCATCCAAAATACCTTCACCAGTCCGGTTGCGAAAGTCTTCAGCCTTGGTAAAGCCTGTTTCGAGGGTTCGGATCTACATAGAATCAAGTTAGTCAAATTATTTCAAACGGAGCGGTTCTGATCCACTGACCTGTGTCTCAACACCTTTCCCATCTTGGCCGGGTAAACCTTGTTCAGCCAAATACTCAGCCATTTTTTCACCAAGATCCTTCTTGCTGTAGATTGTTCGTGTGTCCATGTCCATCTCTCCCTTCCACCAATCATATCGTGTCCCTGTTGTGGTTGCTGTTCCCAACCATTCAATTATCAGAACAATCCTACTTTTCCCCTCAGAATTGAGCTCCGCTTTCCATGAGATGTTTTTTTTCTGATCAGTTGATTCTTTCGGCAAAGGTGTTTCTTTTTTTGCTGTATCTGAAGTCTTCCTTCTTGTATATTTACGTTTCTTCTTTTTTGGTTTGTCAGGACTTGGTTGTTTTTGAGTCACAGAATTTGAAGGAAGTGTTGATTCGTCATGCATAGTATTTGATGGTGAGTTATTATTTGGAATCTGTTGGGTGAGACTGTTAGATCGGGATAAGCAGTAGGTAGGTGTGTTCATCAAAGGAGGGATGATTGCAACCTGAAGTGGTTGGCCAGTGATTGCACTTGGACTTTGAACCCAGTTGGCCGAAGATACGATTGGTAAGGGGGATGTCGTGATAGTTGAATTGGCAATGTGCGGGGAAATTACTTGAAGGTTTGGATCAAGATGTATCGGACTTAAATAGGATTGAGCTTGATGTGTGGGAGGTAATTGAGCCATCACTGTAATCATCCATCTGCTTCTCTGCAGGGAAAGCAAGTGGTTGGGCTCAAGGATGGGAAGCCCTTGTGATAACGGGGCTTTTAAATTAATTTGACATATGTAACTCTTAAGTCTGCAAGTTTGGTGCAAATTCTGTGCAAGATGTCAAAAGAACTTGCACAGAACTTGTACAAAACTTGCACAAATTTCTGCACAGGTTTGAGGACCATAACTATTGCTTCTCCCTCACATTTTTCAATGCTGGTATGAAGCTTTGCTTGATATAAATCCAAATCATCATAAGCTGTGCTACTGGCTGTGGTTGGTTTCAGATGGGTTCATTTGCATTCAT